CCCCCGGTCTCAATTCACTGATGGAAACTGGGTCACAGATGGGGGCCGTTGCTGGCCGTCGTGATAAGCTTTAAGCCTCTAAGGACAAGAACACCAGCACCCCTGCACGAGCCTGTCAGAGCTTTCTGTTCATGACTTTTACTTCAACACATTCAGCCTCTAATTCTCATTTTCTTTTTCTTTTCCATCGGTTTTGTTGCTTTTGTATTTTCGGGGGGTGGCTGATGCGATGGCCTGTCCTGTCGTCTCCCCCTCTCCCTGCCATCTCCTCCACCTGGGGCCACACTGGGGCCTGACTCCATCACCTGCTGGACTTCGCTCTTTCCACACCTGGCAAAACCATCTCCCAGTCGCTGGCGGAGCCGATACTACGGGAAAGGACGTTACGGTCACCCTGATTTTAAGAACTCCTGTCCAGCTCTGGAGGAATAGTGTGTCTTCTGATATTTCCCCCATTCTCTGCCTGTTTGCAGCCCCTCCCTCCCCTGGCCCTTGGCACATCCTGCTTCCTATTCTGCCTGTATCCACCCACCTCATCTTCGTGTGTCTTTTTCTCAGAAACCAAAGTGATGTTTTTGCAGCTGAAATGGCCACCAGCAGGGGCTCTGCAGGCTTGTATTTGTCTCACTGGGCTGAGAGCAGACCCCCAGCATGTGGCAGGGCCTCTGTCCACACACTGGCAGATGATGGCTTGTGCCTGGGTGGGGGAGAACTGGGATCGTCTGACTCCCCAGAGTGCCCTCTGGCCAGAGCTTAAAGATGGGAATGCAGTGAGCAGAAATAGTGAGCTCCGAGGTCTATTTCAGTAGTCAAGAGCTGAGGGGCAGAGGCCCATTGACCAACCTCTGTATAAGATCCTGCGACGGCCCAGGGCAGCTCCAGAAAGGTTCTTTGTGCCAGGTGCCCTTCCCTGCTTGCTCTGCTGCCAAGCCTGGGATGGAGCAGGGGCATCCCTTTCTCTCTGCAAGGAAAGAGGGTCCCCTGCCCCAGACCTGGCCAGGCCTTGGCCTCTGCCCCCGCCCCCCTGGGGCCCGGTTCTCACACTGCTCTCCCCTTCTCTTTCCTCCCATAGGTTGTAGGCCTGGCTGCCTCGCATGTGCCTGGGGCTTTCTTCCTCCTAATCGTCACTCAGCACCAAGACTTCTGCTCAAACGCAAACTGAGATGCCGCACTAACCTGGGGGACGCCATCTCTGCTGCCCCAATCCTCTCTCCTGAGACCTCTTCTTTTGCTTTGTTTGTTTTTAAAACTGGCCCCCTCCCTCTCCCTGTCTTTGTGTACCTGAATAACTGATCTCCACAGAGGATTCCCTAACACATCCCCGCAGAACTGCCTCCCTGGACGCAACTGCATTCTCTCTAGCTCTTCCCCTGCGGGTGGCATCGTGTTTTGTTTGGGTGATCCTGCCTCATACTAACAGCTCAGTGCAGTCCATGCCCTCCCCCAACCCTGCCAACCTGCACGTTGCCAGCCCAGCACCACGTTGGCCTCCCAGTGTCTGGGTCCAATGTACATGGGAAGGGGTTTTGCTTGGCTGTTAACCTGTAGGGATCTTGTCCAACAAGAAGTGGGGAGATTTCAGAGCTGCGCAGGGCCAGTCCCCTCTGCAGGGCTGGCACTGGTGGACTCCATAAGTTCTGTTGCCATAAAATACATCAGCTTGGAAGGACTGTGTACTCAGCAGCACACTCAGGAATGTCATCCTAAAGCAAGGGGGGAGCCTGTCTCCAAACAGTTTTACTAAGGAAAACAAAGCTCCTGCCCACCCCCACCCTCAATGTTACATCCTTTATATCTGCTCAGTGCAGACGGCAAGTACAGGACCCTGAGTCAGCTCATCAAGAGTGTGGCTGACAGGGCACCCAAAGTCACTGCACTGGTCACCAAACAGATTCCTGTGCCCCCAAGACCTGAACCCAGGTTCCTGGAGGCAGGCCCAGGGAACCTGCACTTCAGCCAGCTTCCCAGGTGGCCCTGATGTGCTCCAGTGTTGGAGGATCACTTCTAAAAGGAGCAGGTGATGTCACTGTCAGTTCCAGGGGTCAGGTTTCTCTTCTCCCAATTCCACTTGGAGCAAGAGCTTTCCTGGGCTGCTCTTGAGAAGGCAGTCCCGACGGGCCCACAGCAGTTCCTGGGCATGCCGGGGACTGGCGCTTGTGAGCTGAACAAGCCCCTGCGTCCAGGAGGAGGGCGTGCCAAGGCTTAGGTCCCCACCCAGGTGGGACCGGGAGCAGCACTGCCACGGCTGCACCGCCCCTGGCCGTGGAATCATTCTCACTTCCTAGCGGGCTGGGTCCTCTGCTAAGCTTCTGGGACTGGCCCGCTCCTTAGCTAATGTTACCCTACTTCTGACTGAGACCGGCGGGGCTGTAACCCTTGTCTTTGTTCCTCTGCAGCATTAACAGCAGCAAAGTTGTACCCCGGTTTGAAAGGTTTGGCTTGGGAGTCCTGGAGTCCAGTAATCCAAAGATGTAGCCAGCCGCGCAGTTTTCCTGCCGATTTCCTCCTTTCTTAAATGTGTTTCTAAAACATCCAAACACCACAACAAAAAGCAGCACTCGTCGGATCGTCAGCCACGCTCCTGTGCGCCCCAAGCCAGGAGCGTGAGTCCCCAGTTCAGACTGTTCACAGAAACGCTTGGGTCTCGGAGATGGAGACGCACCTGCTGTTTCTTAAAGTGACATCACCAACCAAACCTGTCCCAACGGGCGGCAAATGTTTACATGTATGTTTCTGCGGAGTGAGCTCAATGTTTTACAATAGGTAATAATAAAAACGGGCTGTGCAGAGGCGCCCCGGCACACTCCGCTCGGACAGCGGAGGTGGCGTCCCCTCTGGAGAGCCCCGAAGGCAGTGAGCCTACGCTGGGCCAGAAGGAAGAAAAGCCTCGTGGTTGTGGATGTTCTCAGGGTAGGACGGGGGGACCACAGATTTGACCTGGCCTCTGCTTTAGCCCTAAGCCCTGTCAGCGGGGAAGCTCCCTCTGTAGGGTCTCCCCTTGTCCCAACAGGAGAACACTGTCCCTTCCTCCTCCTGCAGAGGGAACCCTGGCTAGGAACCGAGCTGGATTAGGAGGGTTGAAGGTTGCCAGTTCCCAAAGATCTGGGTTCACCTCTGACCCTGCAGTTCATCCCATACCAGCCAGAGACAGATAAAATCCAAGTAACATCTGCACTGCTCCAGTGGTTCCTGACCAGGGTTTCCACCTTCTGTGGAGATGTTTCCTTCATGAAGCCCCCAAGGAGGCACCCAGGAGATGGGACTCGAGGCCAGTCCCTGACCGACATCTGACCCCAGAGCTAAGGCTGTGTACACCACGGAGGCTCCGTGAGAACAAGGAAGGTGCGGAGGAGAGAGTAGCAGCAGTGGATCCCTGAACCCACTCTCCCAGCCACAGGGTGCCCTGGCCCGACCTTAGGAACCCATCGGTCATCCCAAGGTTCTGGGACTGCCTGTCTCCCACTCCCCCAGTCCTGTTGAAACCCCTCAGCCCCCTCCTTGCTCTTCTGCTGTCCATGTCCAGGGCTAAGATGGGAGGCATGTGGCCCCCCTTTCATTTAGAGCCACCCAGCAAGCCCCCCTCCTCGTGTCCAGAGCCTTCCCCAGCACTAAGGCCTCCATTTGAACCAGAAGGAAGGGCCAGATTTGGGAAAGCCAGCGAGGGGAGAGCGTCCTGCCGGTCTTCATTTGAAGCTGCCGCCTAAAGAGAAAAGTTCCAAGTGGCAAAGAAGCCCTTCAGCGGGTGTTATGTGCTATTGGGGCTCCAAAGCCAAAAATGACCAAGTGGGATAGGAGTGGCCATGTGGTTGGATTCAGACCCAGAACCTGTGTCCATGCTCTGAGCCAAGATGGGGGGGCATGTGGTCCCCCCACCCCTTTCATTCAGATGCACCTAGCAAAGCTCCCGACCTTCAGAGCCCTCCCCAGCCTGGCCAGAATGTCATGTGAAACAGGCGTCTGCCCGGAAGCTGCAGCTGTGCTCCCCTCGGGGCCGGGCCCGCGCCCTTGGCCGAGCGGCCCTCGGGGAGCACGGCCGTGAGGCAGCCAGCGCAGGCTCCCCGGCTCCCGCTGCCCGGCCGCGCTCCAGACACGGGCGCTTCCCCTTTCCAGTTAGGACAGCAGCTGGGAACCAGTGGGTTCAGCTCCACGTAGGTCTGTTCTCTGGGACTGTTCTCCCCATCATGCCCTTGGCCTCCCCCGTCAGTCCCCTACGTGGTCACCCCCACCCAGACCACGCAGTGTGGCTCCATCTTCGCCTCTGAACCCACGGCCATGCTAGTGAGCAAGTCGGGCTCGACACCTCCCCAGCCCTGACTCCCAGCCCACAGAGAGCCAATCGAAGTTTTGTTTTTTCTCGTGAGTGTCACGCTCATGTGTCAGTTCAAGAGGCTTTCGTTGAGCAACTACTATGTCTTGTGCAATTGCTGGGGGCCTGGTGATAGGAGTGGGCACAGTCTCCGCTCTTAGGGAACTGACGATTTGCCAGGAACCCCAAGAGTGTAGCTGAGGGCCTGGTGGACACTCCCTCCTCTCCAAGGCCCTGGGCAGCCTCCCCGCTCATAGCCTGAGCCTCTGCACATCCTGTCGTTTAAGAGAAACACCTGAGGAAACACCCCTGCTCCCGTGGTCCCCTTCTCCCCCTCTATTTACGTGACTGTGAATGAGGTTAGGAAGAAGAGCTGCCCTCTGTGTGCTCTCCTGTCTGCCTTGGAAACACATGAAGGACGGCAGATACTGTGAAATCAGCCTCCTGGCCAACTGTGAAGGGGATGGAGAAGCTGGGAGGGACTCCTTGGTGAGAGCTCTGGGGGCTGCAGAGGTCCCCCTGGGGTCAGAGTGGAGCCCAAGCATTGGCCCTTCAGCGCCCCCCGGTTCCCAGCCTCACCTCCAAAGCCCTAGGGTCTGTGTCCCTGCTGCCTTTAGCCACCCGAGTCGCAGCCATTGGGTCTCCAGCCAACTTGAGGTCTTGAATCCTAGCGAGTTCCCTGTTCATCATGAGCTCTGTGTAGCAAAGTTGACCTCTCCGTGTCACCAAATCAAAGACACATGCAGGGCCCTGGAATCTCTGCCCCCCTCCCGGCATTTCCTGTGATCTCGGAGGGGAGGGGGACCCCTGGAAGCCTGTGTTCTGTGTTGATTTGGGGGCCAGGTGGAGACATAAATGTGAAGCCGAATAGGGAGCTGATTTCATCTGAGCAAACCCAGCGTCTCCTGTGGCCACAGGGCACACACTTGCTATTTTGAATGTGATGTAAAGTTTGTACAGTAAAAGTTTTTATATTTTCTATCAACTGCATTTGTCTTCCAGAAGTGCTATTAATTTAAATTAAAATGATTAGTATTAACAAATGTGCTGTATCACTTTTTGCCACGGGCGAGAACACACTCTCTGCCGGGCCAAACCTGGGTATCTGGAGTTTGAATAAAACTGTATGTACCAAGGTGACTGGGGCTTGTGTCTGCTTGGTCAGTCGGGTGAGTGTGGGGGCTGCTCAGGTGGCTGGCAGGGAGAACAGGAATGCAGGGGGCAGGGTGGATTGGGCAAGCCTTCCATGACAATGTGGAAGGAAGGCCTGAGTCACGGAGGAAGTGGCCTCGGATTTTCCATATTTCTGGAACATCACAGCTACCACTGTCTGCAGCTGGGCCCATTATAATGGCTGCAGGGAGGGGACTGAGGAGCAGCCGCCACTTGTGGAAAGAACTGTAGGAGTTAAGTGGGTGAGAACCGCTGAGAGAGATGGCTGCCAACAATGATAAAATCATCTTAGGTTGCATTACTAGAAGTAGAATGTCTAGAAATAAGGGAGGTGAAAGCCTCACACTGTTATGTGTTGGTCAGATTCCTTGGGAACAGGGTCTAGTTCTGGGCACACACCAGGAGGCCAGAGCAAAGCAACAGACAGACCATCATTGAGTGTTTACTATGTGGCAGGGCCACGCAAGGTGCTTTACATGTATTCTCTCATTTTGTATCAGGCGAGTTGCCTGAGACAAATATCACCCTCATTTACAGAAGGAGAAGCTGGGTCAGGAGGTGAAGTAACCTGCTCAGGGTCATCCAACCAGCGAGTGAAGGAGCAGCCTGGACTTGAAGCCACACCTGGCTGACTCAGTGTGTGCTCTTGCTTCGACATCCGGACTCCTATAAGATAATGGGCCACTTCATGGAAAATACCATTTCATTCCACATTGCAGTCCTCTCAGGAAGTCCCTGGATAGAAAAGAGAATGGACTTACTGTTTCTTCCTGCTCCGCAGAGCAGCCTCCATCTCCCATTCCCTGCCACCCCTCTGGAACAGGCCCTGGATAAGACTGTTGACAGGACCCAAAGCCGAGCCTGTCACTCTGGGCTTCCCACTCCTCAGGCACAGAAAATATTGTTCAAAATTAAGCCAGAAGTCTGGTTCTGGCAGAGCCCTCCTCAGCCCTGGGGGCACAGAGCACAGAGCCACATTCCCTGCGACAAATGTTGGGGTCCATGAAAGGAAGCCCATTCCATGAAAAGGCATCTGAGAGCTGAGGCAGGGTGGTGAAGTGGTTAGCAGCACAGGTTGTCCTATTGCCTCAACAAGGAGAATGTGGTAGGAGTGGCGCTGCGTGACTTCTGGGGCCAGGTTATAGTTACAGAGTGGCTTCCACTCTCAGGCAGAGGTGAGCTCTCCCCACCTCGCTCTGCCCAAGTTCAGATGTGTTAGATAAATGTCATTGTTCGAAGCTACTAAGTTTTAGTATAGTTTTACGAAATAATAGATAACCAGAACATGGACTAGATGAATCAGCCCTGGTGATGTCAACTCAGCAAGTCCGAAGCTGGTTGCTGGCTGCTCAGGTGAGTCACTAGCACCAAAATAGAGGGAGGGGGCACTGGGTGTGTGGGGAGCATGCAGACCTAGGGGCCAGGCTGACCTGGGTTTTTTTTCCTGGTTCTGTTGCTCGTTATATGTGTGGCCCTGGGCGCTTCTATGCTTTTTAGATTCACCAAATATTCAGCCGGCAAAGGCTGCCAGGAGCTTGACCAAAGATGACGGATATAAAATCCTCCGCCCAGTGCCAGGCAGAGAGCAATCTGGTGTCAGTAAATCCTGTTGCTTTCCTGGGAAGTGTTTACAGAGAACCAAGAGGGACTTTGTTCCCTGAAAGCACAGGATAGGGAAGGAAGAAAGAAGGGGAGCCGCTGAGAGGAAGGGCAGGGACCGCTGTCAGGGGCTACAGCCAAACCAGGTCTCATCTGCATCTGGCGAACACCACTGGCTGTAATCACATTATCAACCAGCTTCCCAGCTGGTTTGGAAACTGAGCCCAGAGGGGGTTCACCCAGAAGTTGAACTTTAAGGCCCTTCACTGCGTGGCAATGGGTTTGCGGGGACAGGGTGTTTGTAACATTCAATGACCTGCTTAACACCACCGTCCCCTTCCCTCCATCACACCCCCCCTTGAGAAGGACAGTGTTGGAGAGGCTACATGCATTTTGGGGATCTGGCTAAGGGGAATGGAATTGGGCATATAGTTATTTTAAGTTTGATGGGATATGTTTGTGTGATTCATAGCGACTTACATGAATAATTCAGCTATTTTCAGCTGTCCCAGCTTAGAAAGGGCTTTGAAACATTCCTACTGCCCCAAATGCCAACTCATCTGGGTCCAGAGACAAACATACAGGGCCAGAGGTGTGTCACAAAGGAGCGTGTCCACAGTGCCTGGTACCCAAAGTGTGCGGGCGGTGGAGAAGCGGGCCAGTGGAACGGCAGAATGATCTTTCTACTTTCTCTGTAGAAAATGTGTCAGATCTTCCTCGCGCGAAGAAGCAGAGTATGCGGCAAAAACGGAGGAAAGTTTATAGCACCAGGAAATTAATTAATAAAAGATTTCTTTTCCTGGATTCTATGATGTTTGGGGTATTTGTCAACTGCTGTGGTCCAAAGTTTGTGTCCTTTTAAAATTCACATGACAACCTTCACCCATTATGGTCATGACATAAATGTCATAAAGTTTGCTTTTAAAATAAATACAGGAAGCCCGGCCGGGTGTGGCTCAGCAGTTGAGTATCAACCTAGGATCCAGGAGATTGTGGCTCGGTTCCCGGTCAGGGCACATGCCCGGGTTTCGGGCTCGATCCCCGGTCAGGGGTGTGCAGGAGGCAGCCAATCAATGACTCTCTCATCATTGATGTTTTTATCTCTCTCCCTCTCCTTCCTCTCTGAAATCAATAAAGATATATTTTTAAAAAAACAAAAACAAAAAACCTACACGGGGTGTTTGTTGAAAATGCAGGTATCCGGCCCTGGCAGGTTTTGCTCAGTGGTTAGAGTGTGGCCCATGCACTGAAGGGTTGCGGGTTTGATTTTCCGTCAAGGGCACATACATGGTTTGCAGGTTCTATCCCCAGCCCGGGTGGGGGCATGTGCTGGAAGCAACCAATTGATGTGTCTCTCTCACATCCATGTTTCTTTCTCTCTCTCCTCCCTCCCTCCCTTCCACTCCCTCTAAAAATCAATGGGAAAATATCCTCCAGTGAGGATTAACAACAACAACAAAATGCAGTGTCCACCTCACCCCCACACCACCCAATCCCAGGCTCTGGGAAAGCTTCTTGGCTCCCCAAGGTTAGTATCACTATGCTAAGGGTTTCTCCCCTACCCCCAGTGCTGGGCATTCTTGCTTGCACTCTCCCTTTCCCACCCCTTCACTTTCCATGAAAATAGTTGATTTCAGGGGATGTCCGGAACTCTGAATAATTTCAGTTCCTTCTCATCAAGCTGAGGCCTGAGCAGCCAGGCTCTGCTAAGGAGAGTTCAGCTGGAGAAAGGGGTGAGAAGGGCCTGGGGGCCAAATTAGGGAGAAGCCTGCAACCCTGCCCTCCACGGTCCCCTCTCTGCCTCATACAGGGGTCCCCATCTCCTTCTCCTTCCATGCCAAGCTTCCTCCCTCCTCCCCCATATTTTCCAAAGTAGTTTCGATTCCCGCAGGTAGAAAGGA